CATAAATTTTCTAGGTGTGCTCCTTCAGGGTTATGGTCTCCACTGATTGGTCAGTGTCAGGGCAGGGTCCTTAGTCATTGCAGCTGGTCTGGTGTCACCTACCTGGTTTTGCTGCTTTTCTGGGCCTGGAGTTCAAATACAACTAAGCCCTAGATCTTATCTCTAGGGAGATGACCTTCTGTGTCTGCTATAAATTGCTCTGCCAGTTTGTTCAGTTTCCCTATTCCACTTGTTCTGACTTACTAGCCTGTCTCACAGCTTATAGCAAAGTACTCTATGCATCATAAAGAAACTTAAACCTGTGTATAGTTAGACCTCCTGTCCCCTACCCCCTTCTTCCTGTGTATCAGCCTATTCCAGCTTTCCCTTCCTTCCCAACATAATGGTCAATCGTAGTCCATCATTTTTACTATGCTTCTACCTTATCATATATTGAAGTGCCTGGCTCCACTGTCCTAGCAAAATCCAAGCTCTTGATAAATCCCAAATATCCACCTGTTTTTATACCTGTGTTGCTTAGTGTGGTATGTCTGGGGAAAGTTAACCAAACCTTTCTGACTATTGACACTATGAATTTACCTTTCTCAAACTCAGTACAGCCCTCTGAATTGAACACAGATAACTCTGATATCTTTATATTATAGACATTTCATAAGGATGCACTTTCACACAATGACTCCAAATTAAAACCAGGCTTACCTATGAGCTCAAGTATTTAATGTATCTCTGAACCCCCCTAGATAAGTAAGGGTTTAGGTTTTCTGCCCAAGGCTTTCCTTTTATATCTAGAATAGAAGCCAGTCACAGTTGTCAGACCTCTAGCAATTATTAGGCAAGGCATTCAGAATCTACACTTTTCCTTTCACATGGAAACATGAGTTCTGCCACTGGTTTTAAGAGGTAGGTGCTCACTGACGGCAAAAGTCAGGAACTATTATTCACTAAAGAGTTGTTCTATGCCTGAGCATACATATCATTTAAGATTCTTCCATTTTCATATAACAAATAACTGAACTAAAACTAAATAAGAAAATTTATGATTCAGATATTGGATGTACTGAAGCCTATATGGGTGTTTGATTCAGCTAAGGACTCGGTTTTTTTTCCATCTTCTTCTACCATTCACAGTATCAGCTTCCATTTGAAGGCTGGAAGCTTGATGGCTGCAATGATTCTAGGAGTCAAGCAACTTCCTAAGAAAAGAAGACAATTTTTCCTGATTGCCTTTTCTTATGAGTGAGGACACTTTATTTTGTCCTTCTGCAGTCTTCTCCTAATGTCTCATTGAGCAGAGTTGGGGTTAAATTATCACCCTTCCTAAACCAGAGAGCACCAAGGTAATAGATTACCCCTACACAATGCAGATTCAACTCTGGAACTGCGATCAGCCCTCTTGAGACACATGACTACAAGGAGAAGGGCTGCATACTTATGCAAAAATGACGTTCTTTTAGTAAGGGGTTGGTTATGGTAGGCAAAACAGTGTATTACAAAGCACTGAGGTTATAGTAATAAAGAGCACAGGGCAATGTCTTAGCAATTAAGACCACTAAAAGCCACCATGGAGTTATCATGTACTCTTCCCTACTTACCCCAGCTTACCCCATAATATGACTAGATGACATTTTAAAAAGGAACTAGACAGACCTGATACATGCAGGTATTTCAGAATATCAGATGGTTTCTCATTTTTCAGATCTGAAGTTCAGCTGAAAAGAATAGGACAAAAGCTGTTCACTGGCCTTTAGCTACAGGGTTAAAATCCATAGGCCAGCTTTCCAATGTCAGTTGCCATGTAAATACTTTGGAAGTCACTGCTTTTGTACTGAAAACCAGAAAAATAAAAAAGCTGAACAAACTGAGAATCAATGACTTATCTTAGACCCATAAAGAAACATGTCACAGGGCAAATGACCACCCCGAATTCTGGAGAAAAGACAAATCGGGGGAGTCATAACCTATCTGTCCTTACATAGAGCACAAACAGCTAGAGACATAAACAGGGCAGAAGACTTAAAGAGTAAATTTGACAAATTGCTGGAGACTGAGTGTGGAATAGTATGAGAGTGAGAAACCCAACCTGCAGTCTTAGAGGTTTCATGGGCATTAAATCCAGGAACTCTAGCCGGTTCTTACAGTGAAGATCCCAGAAAGATCTTATGGCTCTGGCAGTGGGAGGGGAAGTGTGCTCCTGTGAAATAACCCAGAGGCTTCTCCATGACAAAGACCTACTCTGCAGTGGAAATACTTTCCCAGAGTGTTATTTCTGTTAAAGGAAAGGCATTCCTCTTAACCACCCACTCTAGTCTTCCATTTTCATGTAAGAGGGAGAAAGAAGCTAGGAAATATTTGTGAAGGACACAGCCTAGGGACCCAGGCCCACAAAGGACTAGAATTTAATTGTAAGATTATAGAACATTTCAGACATTTTTACCATGTCACAAGTGTCCAGTATTATAGGAGTGGAGTACAGCTAAAGAAGCTATAATGTGCATAGATTCTGCAAGGAGTAATTAGGGAAGCCCAAAGATAAGACAAAAATAAGGACACTAGAGGAATCTGAACACCGGCACCTACAGCTACAGCAAACATTAGGCACAGCTCAACTGCTAACCAGCCTAACATAAAACTTCTTGCTAAGGGTCTATTCACCCAATTTCAGACTGTGTAATTATCAGGAAATTAAAAATATGTATGGCTCCCCCCCCCCCCCCCCCAAAAAAAGGCCCAACAAGATTTCTTATGTATTTGGGTGCTCCTATATTGGGTGCGTATATGTTTATCAGAGTTATTTATTCTTGTTGGATTGCTCCCTTTAGTATTATGAAGTGGCCTTCCTTATCTCTTTTTATGTCCTTCACTTTGAGATATAATTTGTCAGATATAAGTATTGCTACCCTGGCTTTTTTTCCGTTTCCATTCGCCTGAAAAACCTTTTTCCATCCCTTCACCATCAGTCTGTGTGCGTC